CCGCGGTCTGTTGGCGGGGCCGGCTGCGTGGAGCCAGTAGGTAGCAGGTGCAGGTGGTGGTGCTCCAGCACAGCGTCCGCGTCCTTGCTCCACATCACACTGCTGGGGGGTCCAGCAGCAGCCCCCAGGCTGCAGTCCAGCAGCACAGCCTGGTCCGGGCCCAGGATCACACACAGTGGTCGCGCTCCACAGCTCAGCTCGACGGTCGCCTCCGGGGGCATCGGCAGCCCCCCTGCACTTTGACGCGCCCGTTGGGCCGCAGAGGCTCCCCGTCGTGCAGCCAGCGCAGTGCGGGGCGCGGCTCCCCAGACGCGCGGCACACGAAGCGCGCGGTGCTCGCCCGCGTCCGCCACAGCGCCTCTGGCGCCTGAGAGATGGCGGGAGCCGCTGGGGACAGAAGGGGCGACGCTGACCGTGGCCACACAGGCCTACTGCCCCAAATGCCCCAGCCCGCCCTCCCGCAACCGCTTTGCCTCTCCGGATTCACCCCTCCCCAGTCTACTCCAGTTCAGATCTACGTCTCCCCCATTTATCCAAGCCCCACACTGACCATCCTCTACCCCTCTACCTCCAGCTGCCTCCTCCCCGAAACACCCCCTCTGCCTGGACTCACCCCCACTCCTTGGATTACCCACCTTCTCCCCTGCTCACCAATGTCCCACACCTACTGGATTTACGCTTTCCCCAGTCACCTCAGCATAAGCAAGACCGCCCCCCGTTTTCGTAGTACCACTTAGACCATTCCATCGTCTCCCCGCATCCCACACCCCACAATCCTCGCGCACAATAACCTCAGTCCCATGCCTCCCTCCCTAGGTCCTACGCAGTCCCCACATCACCCCTCTCGCACCTCACCCGGACTAAACTTGCCCACTCTGTCCTGGTCAACTAGAGGGCAGTGCGGACACCCCCAGGGCTCTCTGCACGGTCCCACCCCCTGGAGAAGACTCCTCCCCAGCAGTGCCTTTTCACCACCCCCAATCACCCCAGTCGCTCTGACAACCCCCTGCCCTCCGCTCAGCCCGGCGAGCGCAATCCTGCCGGCCTCGCGCGCCCCCTCACCCAGCACGCGGAGCTCGGCGGCGGCCGTGGCGAAGTCGCGCGTGCGGGGCTTGTTGGCGCGGCACACGTAGACGCCCGAGTGCTGGGGCTGCGCGCTGGCGATGAGCAGGTTGGTGCGGCCCAGCACGATGACATCCGTGGAGATGGGCTTCCCGTCTGCAGGAGAGGACACGCTGGAGGGAGGTGCCTGGAGAAGGTGAGCCCCCGGAGACGGGAACACAACAGGCCCTGCTCCGTCCCCGCTGCGCCTCTAGCCAGCCTGAGCGCCGCCGGCGCAGGGCAGTCGGTCTGCAAAGGGCAAGGTCTGCGAGAACGCCCCGGCGCGCGGTCACTGGGTCACTGCATTATCACTGCCACCGTCAGGAGGACGTTCACCGCTCTCAAGACCCACACACTCCCTGTGGGTTCAGCCCAGTTAGTAAGGTCTGACCAGACCAAAGACTTGAGTACGTGCAGATTCTCGATGTGAAATAAAAGCCATTGCAGGGCCCGGCAGGTGATGTGGTGGTTAAGGGCGCTGGACTCCCACATAGTCGTCCGCGGTTCCAGGCCCGGACCTGGCGGCTTGCTTTCTCGCTTTCTCTTTCTCTCTCTCCCTCTATGGTCATATTAAAATACATAAAGTCAAATTAAAATAATTCTTAAAAACAAGGGACCAGCAGGTGGTGTGATGGCTAAGGGCACTGAACTCCCACATGGCTGACCATGGTTCGAGTCCTGGACCTGGCGGCTTGCTTCTCGCCCTCTCTCTCTCTCTGTCCCTCTGTGATCAAATTAAAATAAATAAAGTTAAATGAAATAATTTTTTAAAAGAGTCACTGCAGACATGAACTAAAAAAAGAAATGGAAATGGTCAAGAAACAAAAAATGCTCAACTTCGTGTAATGAAATAAATACTTATCAAAACATAGATGTGAATGTTCACCTATCACATTGGGAATGCCTCCTTGTTTCTATTTTATTGTTTTTTAGTTTGCTACAGGGCGTGTGGGAGGGAGCAGAGTTAGAAATCACCCCCCGGGGGGATGGCCATGCCATCATTTCTTCTCCATTCTTTTTTAGGGATTTTGGGCACGCCCATCTATTCTTCAAGCCACCGGGTCTGGGACTCTATGGCCCTGTTGGCTATCCCATGTGTGGGTTCCAGAGCCTTAAGCCTCCAAGTCACCTGCTGGTCCAGGATTTTTTTTTATATATAACATTTATTTATTTATCTATTTATTTGTTATAATTTTCAGACCACTGGGGACTTAAACCTAGGTCAGCCTTGTGAGGGTTCAGCACCTCAATCACCACACCACCTGTCAGCCTGGGGAATGTTTGCAGAAACAGTATGCTGTAGGACTAGCAGATAGCATAACGGTTATGTCACTGAACTCCCATGTAGTTAACTGTGGTTCAAGCACTGGATCTGGCAGCTTAAAACTCCCACCAGGCATACGTGCGTGTGTGCGCAAGATCCAGGGAGGAAGATGGAGAAGAAGGGATTGCGGTGTGGCCATCCATCTGGGGGGGGGTGTGATTTCTCGCTTCCTGTTTTTGAATCTCTGGTGAACACAAATGCCTTATAGCAAAAATCTCTCTCTAAAAAAAAAAAAAAAAAAAGTACACTGCAACACTGGAGAAGCGGCCTTAAGGAGTGTCACCTTGACTGCGAAGCCAGGGATTCCACTTACGGGCACCCAGTCCGGGGAGAGTGGCAGGATCATGAGCGAGCACTTGTGAACAGGGTGTCTCAGTGCAGTTAACGGTAAGGGGGGGGGCTAAAAAGTCAGCCCTAACAACTGGGAAGTCACAGTATAGCTACATTCAAATGATGAAAAACGATGTTGTCATTAAAATTATTACTATTTTTTGAAGTTTTAAAGATGAAGAAATGCTTATGATGTGCTATTGAATGAAAACAGGACTCAGAACTAACATAAACACATCATACAATTTCATGGGAAAATGTACATATGCATAGAAAAACCTGGAAGAGGGACCAGCAGTTGGCGTAATGGCTATGTCGCCAGACTCCCATGCAGTCAACCATGGTTCGAGTCCCGGACCTGGTGGCTTAAACTCACGCTGGGTGGTGTGCGTGCCCAAGATCCCGAGAGGAGAATGGAGGAGAAGGGATTGTAATGTAGCCATCCTCCCTGGGGGGTGATTCCTCACTTTCTATCTCTCTGTCTCTGTCTAGTCTCTACCTAGAATCATCATCAGAGAGTTGCTCCACGTGAACCTCTGAAATCACAGGTGCGAGGGTCTTCTGGGACAGAAGTTCTCCAATCCTTACAGCATAGGAGTCACGAAATCGTAAAGGACCTTGTCAAGCTGTGACCTAGGCAGGGTCCCAGGTCTGCATTTCTAACTAGCCGCAAGAGGTAACAAGGACCTGGGGCACTTGTTAAGTGTTAAGATTCTTGGGTTCGGGGCTGGCAGGTGGTGTGGTGGTTAAGGGTGCTGGATTCCCACGTGGCCGACCATGGTTTGAGTCCCGGACCTGGCGGCTTGCTTTCTCACTTTCCCTCTCTCTCTGTCCCTCTTTGGTCAAATTAAAAATAAATAAATATAAAATAAAGTTCAATAAAATAATTTTTAAAATTAAAAAAAAAAAAAAGATTCTTGGGTTAGGGGCTGGCAGGTGGTGTGATGGTTAAGGTGCTGGACTCCTAAATGGACCGACCGAGGTTTGAGTCCCAGAACAGGCAGCTTGCTTTCTCACTTTCCTTCTCTCTCTCTCTGGTTAAATTTTAAAATAATCAGGATCAGCAGTTGGCTCAATGGCTATGTCGATGGACTCTCAGGTAGTCGACCACAGTTTGAGTCCCAGACCCAGTGGCTCAAACTCACGCTGGGCACATGTGTGTGCATGCCCAAGATCCCAAGAGAAGAGTGGAGGAGAAGGGATTGCAGCATGGCCATCCTCCCTGGGGGGTGATTTCTTGCATTCTGCCTCTCTGTCTCTGTCTTTCTGGTGAGCACATGTGCCCTACAGCAAAAACCTCTCCAAAAAAATAAAACTTTTAACAATAATCATAATAAATGGAATTAAATCAATCATTCATTTTAAAATTTTCTTTCTTTCTGTCTTCCTTTTTTAAAATTTTTATTTAGAGGTTTTTGCCTTAGGGCGTTGCTTTCTCACTCTCCCCACCCTTCTCTCTCTCTCTCACTATCCCTCTTTGATTAAATAAAGTAAAATAAATTCTTTAAAAAAAAATACATTGTTGGGGGGGCTGTTAAGTGATGTGGTGGCTAAACAGAGACAGACGCAGTGAGAGGGAAAGTGAGAAGTCACCATCCAGGGAGATGGCCACCCACAATCCCTTCTCCCGGGCCCTTGGGCACGCACGTACAGATGACCTGCGTGATATGCACCCACTAGACGCTTTCAGATGTGAGATGCAGACTCATGGGAAGGGCCCTGCAGGTGCTGAACACGCCAGGGAAGCGGCACAGAGAGCTGCAACCAAGACTTCCTTCTGCCATCGACTGGGGGCCAGCTGCTGCTTAATGAGAAGTGGGAACAAATCCAGTCCCCCCCCTCCTACAGGCCTGTAGGGAGTGGTGGACTGGGAAGAGGACAGGCTCCAAAGTGGGGACCCCAGCTCTCCACCTGCCTCTCAGACTCAGTTTCCCAGTTCCTTCATCTGCCCACAGGGGCTACTAGTCCTGGCCCTTATCCTCTGCAAGGGCTCTTAGAGGCGGATGGGAGAACCAACAGGTGCAAAAGCTCTGCAAACCGACACTTGGCCCCATGACCAGTGGCCCGGATAGCATCTCTGGTAACTCGATCTCAATGGCAGGTCTCCCTGTGGTCTGACACTGCCAACGCTGTCTTCTTGGTGAGTTCAGGCAGGCTCCCTGCCCCTCATCCACAGCCCTCATTCCCTGCCAGCGTGATTCCGGGCACGCAGAGGCTGCCCCGAGCACACATGTGTGCAGGGGTAGGCCAGGCCCAGCGCTGTAGTTACACAGATCCGCAGGGGCTAGGTCCACCCGACTGCTGGGCTGTGTGGCACCGCCCCAGATCCCAAACGCTCGGGCCAGAACAGAAATAAGGACAGTGGAGAAGCTAGCCCAGGGCTCACAGTAAGGATTCTGTGGCTGGCAGGCCCAGTGTGCTCGGGACAGAACGGGCTACATAGGGTGACGGCTGTCTGTTCAGGTTCCCCACACAGCCCCACTTCGATGCTCACTCACGCCCAGCCCTGGGAGAAGAGTTCTCATCACACCAGGGGGACAAGGACCACGGTGTCCCTGACTTGGGGACACCTGATACATCGCACCCCTCCCTCCCCTGCCCTCCTGCCCTGCCTCTCCACTCACCCTGCCGGACCCAGGACACAAACGGGGTGGGATCAGCTGAGGCCACACACTCCATCACCACGCTCTGGCCAGACACCACGGTGGTGTTCTCTGGGGCTGCTACGATGACCACGTCCTGCTCCCTGGTGGACGCCAGGGACCCTGGAGAGATAGGCCACGGGCAGCCTTATGCTCAGGTGTCTTCATGTGCCACACCTCACTGACGCTCAGAGCCACGGTCCCAGCAGGCAGGAGGGCAGTCGCAAGGTCCCGCAGCACCGAGATGGGAACTCAGCCTTCCTTGGAGCCAGGGAGAGAAGCCTGGCCTCCAACCCCCTGCCCGAGAAATGACCAGCCCGACCCATGTCTACCCCCATTCTTCCCTTCCACATCCAGCCCACCCTCAGGCAGAGGACGGCTAGGGTCATGGCAGGCTTTGGATGTGGGGTCAGCTGTCAGTTTCTAGTCCCAGCACTGCCTTTAATGCCATGTGTGCCCTTAGGCAGGTTCCCTCCCCAAGGGGCCTTAGGTTCCCCCATAGAAAAGGCAGAAAGTGGGCTCAGGGTTCTCCAGCAAGGAAGCTCCCTGAGCCCTGATTCCTCTGGGCAGCATGGCGAGTACCTGGCTTGTCCAGCAGGTGGAGACAGAGACCCAGGCACAGCTGGGAGGGCAGCCACCAGCTAAGCCCAGGAGGAAGCAGATGGGGGTCAGGGTGGGAGTGAGGATGGGAGGGGGTGCGCGGGGTAGGCAGAGCTGTCTGGCAAAGGGAGGCAAGCGGGGGGCCCTTGGGGAGGTTGGAAGAGAGCTCTGTGCAGCACCCACCAGGTGCCCAGTCCGCACTCGGATCTCAGCCACTCTCACTACACAAGGGCCGGACACCGGATACCGAGCCCGAGGTCACACAGATGGTGGTGGGCAGAGCGGCGGGATTCAATCAGGTCTTTCTGACCCCAGAGCCGGTGCCCTTCCTACCCCATCACACCGGGGCAGGAGTCAGACTGGTAATGCACAGCAATGGCGGGGCGGGCCCCCAAAGCCCAGAGGGCCAGGGGCCAGGGTGGGGAGACACTGATGCCCCTCCTCCAGGGTCTCACTACACCGCCCGCAGCCCTGAGGATCCTGCACCCAAGTCCTGTCTTGGGCCAGCCCACCTTGGCCACCCTTGATGTGCTGGGTGGCACTGGCCTCGCCTCCTCCCCATCTAATGAGGCTGCCTGTCACCTGCTTTAGGGCGGGGCCTGGGCCTCTGGAGGTCCCTGCAGCCCTGAGAGAGCAGACTTCAGAAGGCCCTAGGTCCCCCTGCCCGGCCGACCCCTTACCTCTGAGGGCCACACTGAGAAGGGCCTCCTGGCTGAAGCGCTGGCGGGCTGAGTTGGTGGCCACGCAGCGGTAGGCGCCCGCATCACCCTCCTGAATGTCCAGGATCTGGAGGACGCCGTTGGGAAGAGTGATGAGCCTTGGGAAGGGGGAGATGGCAGCTTTGAGGTGGGCAGGGGTCCTCAGGGAGGGCGCTCACAATAAAAAGAAATGCAAATGAAAGCTACAAAATACCATTTTCCCCTTCCAGTTGGTGAAGGTCAAAAAGTTTACTAACACCCCATGTGGAGGAGGACTGAGGGCCAGGCACCCCTGCCCTGTCAGTGGCCAGGTTGATCGCCACACCCTTTCCTGGGCAAGGAAGCAACACCTCAACATCAAAACTGCACAGGCTGGGACCAGCAGTTAGCGTAATGGCTATGTCGCTGGACTCCCACGTAGTCAACCGCGGTTCGCGTCCCGGACCCGGTGGCTTAAAACTCACGCTGGGCGCGTGTGTGTGCGTGCCCAGGATCCCGAGAGGAGAATGGAGGAGAAGGGATTGCGGTGTGGCCATCCCCCCTGGGGGGTGATTTCTCGCTTTCTGTCTGTCTCTCTGTCTCTCTCTGTCTGGCGAGCGCACGCGCCCTATAGTGGAAAAAAAAAAAAAACTCAGAAAAAAACAGAAAAACTGCACAGGCTTTATTTTAGTTTATATTTTTGCTGTAGGATGTGTGTGCTTAGTAGAAACAGAGAGAGAAAGCAAAAAAATCATCCTCCAGGGAGAGGGCCACACCACAATCCCATCTCCTCCATTCTCCTCTAGGGATTTTGGGTACACACATACACATGCCTGACGTGATTTTCAAGCCACCAGGTCCAGGACTCAAACTGCAGAGTTGGCCATGTGGTATCCAGCTGCCTTAGCCCCCACACACCTGCTGGTCCCACATGGGCCTTTTGATCCAGCAATGCCACATGCAGGACTCTATCCCTAGGCATGGTCATGTACGTGTGCAGAAAAACATACATCAACGAATACTCGCTCCGGCGTTGTCTGGGACAGGTCTGACTGGAAACGGCTC